CCTGGAATAAGGAAATTACCATAAGAAGTATTTATTTAGTTGTGAGAGAAACTTGGAAAGCAAAGATTTGCAAAGGAACAGAGAGCCTGGTGTAGTGATACACGCCTGTAGCCTCCGCATTCTGGAGGCTGAGGGAGGAGGATTGCAAGTTCGAGCCAAACCTCCACAAATTAGACTGTCTCAAAGTAAAACATTAATACAAGAGGCAGGGGAGATGGCTCAGTAGGATAAGTGCTTGACTGGCAAACGCAAGGATCTGAGTTCAATCCCCAGTTCTGCAAAAACAAAAACAAAACATTAATACAGGGCTGGGGATACGGCTCAGTGCAAAGGCCCTGGGTTCAATTCCCAATGCCATTAAAAAATCAGAGAAAAGTCACTCATCAGCCCTTGTGGAAAAGGGTGAGCAGGCTGCAGTGGGACTGTGGAGTTGGGGTTGAAGTTTGTGGAAGACTGTCTGCTCCTCAAGGTCTTACTGCTGAGTTCATGGAGAAGTGTTTAGCCGTGTGTCTGTGCTCTGGGTCACTTTGGTCAGCTGGACTGGCCACTGGGAAGGAGTATCATGGAATAGGGAATGTGAAGACCAACCCAAGCATGCAGATACCCTGTGCCTGTCCCTTACTACCTCTGACCAGTGACAACTTTCCGACACTTTCAGGCACAATGAATACTGCCTCATTTTCATCTCCCAAGTCTCATTAAAAAAAAAAAGAAAAGAAAAGAAAAGAAAAGAAAAGTTGGTGGCAAATCCTAATGCAGTTCCATGCAAGGAAGGAAGTTGAGAAATGTAATTTCATCTTAGCAAGGACTGTCTGAATGTCCACCAGGCTATGCTACAGAACACTGCAAAATGGTTTTCCAATCTGGGGATGGGAAGGCAGGGCACACAGGGGTCAAATTCTCTCTTAGGAGGTGTGTATCTGTTGGATTCTTTTTTTCTCAGAGAAGCAAGACCCTTATCATTTAAAATGCTCAGATATATGGAGGATATGTGAACAGAAAGTGGGGGGGGCGAGATTGAAAACACTCAGTGACCAGTCTGGACTCTGCTACTGACTTTCTATGTGATCTTGGAAGAATTACATTTTTCTGGGTCCCAATCTGTTTACTTCACAATTTGGAGCAAATGGACAGTAAGGATCTATGATCCGTATTATTATTATTTGATTCTCTAGATGTAGAAATCCAGGTTTTAGTACCCAAACAGGGCAGGGTTTTCTGTTATGGATTCTTTATGTGGCCTTTATCAGCTACTAAGTGTCTAAAATGTCTAGGTCTTGAGCCTCTGCCTTGACCCCAACCTGCAAATACACTGTGTGGCTCTCACAAAACTGTACTCTGTTTCAGCTTCTTGCATAATCATTGTACTCATTTTTCTTGGTTTTGAAACCTTTGCTCTCTTCTTGGGCATCTTAATCACAGGGGACCTGTAACTGGTAAGTGTGGAGGAAACAGAGGAAGACCTATCACATGTGCTCGTCTGCCTGTTTCTAGAAGGTCAGAGGGCCAATTTCTGAAGTTGACCAGAGAAATCAAAGAAAAAAGAATTCACTATTGTGTGAATATGTCCAGTCAGTTTGGCAAGAATGCTATTTTATTGATAACCTAGAGATGTCTAGAATACAGGGAAAGAAAAATACTTTGATCATGAAGCTACAGACTGGTACATCTTTTTAGAGAATGTTTGCCAATAGAAAATCCTTAAGATATGTGTGCCCTGCAGTCCATCAACTTCACTGTAAGTCCTTGAAGTGGCTGTCTGCATCTGAGTAGTGATTTCCCTTTCTTCTAAAGGAGAACACAGCAGTTTGGCTAGAATGCAGAAAGACGAGTTAGACATGAATTAGCTAGCTGGAGAAAACGGGACCAACATTCATAGTGGAGAAAACCAAAGAACAACTTAATCTAAGCCACAGAATAAAGAAAAGTTCAGAACCTGTCACTTTGTACATGAGAGAGAAATTTAGGGGAATTATAATAAGGACATTTGGTTGAAATAATGTCTAATGATCAGATCCTTACATAGACTGTTTCTCAGCCATCATCCTGTAGCTATTGTAGGATAACTTGAAAAATATTTAAACAAGTTTTTCTCTATCAGGAGTGAAACTGAAGGTCTCTGAATGGCACCCACACCTGAACATCTTTGGCGATAGATTTAGTAAACTGGGAATGAGATTAGCTGACACAGGTATAGTGGTGGCTGGGAGACTGTTTAGCTCCAGCCATAATTCTCTAGGTAGTTCCCAGAATCCAAAGCAGGAGATTAGTAGAGAAATGGAAAAAGATCTGAAGACACTGACATTGACATTTCTTCATTACAAGCCTGTGGTGGTTGATACAGTGTGTCAACTTGAGTTGTCAGAAGATTGGGCTGGATTCGCTTGGTGATAACTTGCTCTGGGGCACGGGGAGCCCCGCCCTAGGGCAGAGATGGCCCACCCTAGAGTGTTTAAGCACAAAAAATGGTATATAAAGGCTTCTTTACACCCGGCTTCCTTGGAGAAGTTCTGATGTTCGCTATGCTACTTCACAGCTGTGCCACTTTGGAGGAGCTCTGATTTTCGGGGTGGAGTTCCACTCTTGGCAGTCAGTGTGGAAAGAAGGAAGGGAGAGAGGCTTGACAGATGCCACAACTGCTGCCCCTTCCTCTGCTCTCCGCTGTTCTCCTCCGCCATGATCTGCTGCCTTCTGCCCTGGAGCCAGCCAAGTATGAACTCACACCTTTGCTAACTGTGAGCTAAATAAACCTTTCCTTCCTTCATTTTGGGTGTTGGATATTTTGTCCCAGCAATGAGTGAATAGTAACTGAGACAATGCACCAGCCAGATCACCTTAATATGAGTGTCATGATTGGTGAGTCCAATCCATGTGTTGGGAAATATCATTGAAAACTGCTGAGAAGCCAAAGGTACTACAACTATGAAACAAGTAGAGGATGTCATAAAAAGGGAAAGTCAGTGAGTAAGAACTTAGAACTGAAAGAGATGAGAGCAGAAAATGGATAGGTGAATAGAAAGCCCAGAAGATAAATTTGTTAATAATTTCCCAGAAACTAGAGAAAAAAGGCAGCCTGGTGGAAATTGGGAGGGAAAATCTGAAAAGCTAGAAAATGAGTCCATGGAACCCAATACTTGAGGAATAAGAGTTCTAGAAATCAAGGATGGAAAAGCAACTTGAGGGGAAGATATTATAAAATAAATTATATATAACAATATGCCAACTTCAAATCAACAATCCATAAAAAGGTAAAAAGGCCTCAAATGCATGGAAAGAGGCTGTTTAACTTATAGTAAGAATTTCTTTAAAAAATACCATTTGTTGTGGGTTGGATTGTCTTTTCCAAAATGTATGTTCTAATCCCAGCACTTGAGAAGCTGAGTGAGGGGGATTGCTGTAAGTTCAAGGACAGCCTGTGCTACACAGTGAGTTCAAGGCATACAGTGCACAGTGAAATCCTGTCTCAAAACAAACAAACACCCCAAAACCAAAATGTATGTTCAAGTCCTAACACCAGACAGATATCTCTAAATATGACTTCTTTGGAACTAGGATCTTTGTCAGTATAATAAAGTTAAGGTAAAATCACACTAAATTAGTGAGCTCCAACTCAGTGGCTGTGTCCTTATAAGAGGACAAACTCACACATAGAGGATGCCATGTGATGCAGAGGCAGAGACTGTGCTGCCTTAAGCTAAGCAATGCCTGCTATTGTCACAACCACGAGGACCTAGGAGAGAATAGCACAGGTTTCTCTCTGCCTCAGGGAGGCATATTATTTAGTGTTTGTTGTATAATAAGCCATTCAAAACTGTAGCAATTATAAACATTTATTTTTTATTTTGTACTTTTTAAATTAATTTTATTGAGAAACAAATAGCAATGAGACAGTTTCAAAATCGATTAGTAGGACAGTTTCAATAATTAATACATTGCATATTGTTGTCTTTGTAGTAGTTATTTATAGTACAAGATGCAAACGTGTTATCCTGTCCAAACACCATTAGTACAAATCTTTCTTCTTATTGAATTAAGAGAAAGTAGCTGTATATCTATCTTAGCTATTTTGTATATACAGATACAAAATGGTCCTTCAATTGTATCCTTTTTTTGTTTAGTTTTTGTCAGAGAAGGGTATTCCCTTGCCATTTAAATATTGCAGGTGCATGAATTCAGCAAAATAATCCAATATAGTCCAGTGGTCCATAATAGTAGTGGGTTATCCATAAGACTGGCAATGTCAGAAGTTGTTAACTTGAGCCTTTTACAGATTACATATTAATATGGCTTTACTTTTTATACCTCATTTTATACTTTTCTGCTGGATGGCTAAGACTAAGATAAAGCAAGACCTATATAACAAGAAATGTAACTTTTGTGTCTGACAAGGTCAGTCAAGTCCCCTCAGGATTTACCCTGTAACCCTGTACCACAGTCTGTAGAACCTTTGTCAGTGTCAGCCATGTGGATGAATCATGGCCATAGCCTGACCAATTTGCTCTCTGTGAAAGCCTGAAAGAATGTTTTCTCTCCATGTGACTCTCCTTAGGCATACTACATCATCAATCACTTTCCTCTGTGGCCCCATAATCTCCTTGATCAGTAAATTTGGGACACAACTGAGTTACAGAATGTTACAGTACAGGTTCTGCTATGAGTTGTAAACATTTAAAACTCATGATTTCTTATAAGGTTTGCTTGGGCAGGGTCTTTGTGTGTGCGTGTGTGTGTGTGTGTGTGTGTGTGTGTGTGTGTAGAGGATCTGGAGGCTAGGGCTGGGGCTGGGGCTGGAGGGTCAGGAACAGACAGAGCCTCTCATTTCCTGGTGGGCTGCATGATGTCCATGGCAGCATGATTTGGCACTGAGTCTTTCTACTGTAGTAGCAATTTCTGGTTGGCTTACACTATAAACATGATAGAGTTCCCTAGAGCAGTGGTAAGGGTGAGGTGTTGGGATGTAACCTGTTTTCCGAGCACTTTTTAGTGTTGTATCCTCTGCTAGTGTCCCATTGATACAAGCGAGTCTAAAGGGAAGCCTAGACTTAAAGGATGGGGCAATAGCCTCTGCCTTTTGATGGGGAGGAGCTGTGTGATGGTGGATGGCTTTGAAATTGAGTACAGTAGGTACTAAAGAAAGCTTATTATTGGCTGGCCAAATACACGCTGATGATGAAGTCCATTCAAGGGTCCTGAGAGAATACTAAGCCTTTATCATAATCTGAGCAAATCTTTGTGTTTTGACTATACTAGAAGTAGGCTCAAAGAGGATTATGGTTCCAAGGGCCGTGTAGCAGGTTAGGTGCAGGTATCAAGGGAACAGGCCTTGGATCCTGGTGTGAGAGAATCTGGGACTGATGACAATAGCCTCAAGATATTTAGGTGTAAACAATAAGCTTGGTCTTATTGTGAAAACCTGGAGCTCTGTATTATTTCATTTGCTATGCATTTTTCCCCCCTGTCTAGAGAAGCATAGTGTAGGAGATTTGGTTTGATTTTTTTTCAGCTCGTCTGAACTAATCTGGTTACTGATGACATCACATCCTAGAGGGGGAGAGCCTGTCCAAGGGCACACAGCAGTAAGTAGTGCAGCTGGCACAAAAGCCAAATATTTTCAACCTTGCCCTCCTTCCGAAAGCTCAGCATTTTAGGTAGCAGGATCTGTTCCCTTAGATAAAAATATTTGAATAGATGCATTCTCCTGAAAGTGCAGTGAATGTTTTTTTTTTTTCTTTTCAGTTCCCAAAGTGGAAAAATGCATGTGAAGAAAAGAGGTTGTCCAACTTATACTAGAACCAGGATAATGGTGGATTTCTAGACCAGGTAATGGGGGACTTTGTAGGGCATAGTAGAAGTTGTAGGGTGTCTCAGATTTTAAGATGGGTTTTAACACTTTACAAATGAAGAGACAAGAATGGCAAATAACATATGAAAAAATGCTCAACATCATTGGTCATTCAAGAGATGCAAATTAAAACAACCCTGAGATATCGTCTCAGCCCAGAAAGAATGGTTATCATCAAGAAGTCAACCAATAACAAATGCTGGAGAGGCTGTGCAGGAAAAAGAACCCATCTGCACTGTTGGTGGAAGTGCACACTTGTGCGACCATTATGGAAATCAGTGTGGAGATTCCTCAGGTATCTAGGATTGGAGGTCCCATTCAAGCCAGCTATTTTCCTCCTAGGTATTTTTCCAAAAGAACTGAAATCATCATACCGGAGCAATATATGTGCACACACGTTTGTAGCAGCGCAATTTGTGATAGCTAAATCTTGCAAACAACCCAATGCCCATCAACTGAGGCATGGATAAAGCAGATGTGGTATTTTTACACAATGGAGTATGAGCTATAAAAAAGATAAATTTAAGGGCTTTTGTAGATAAATGGATGCAACTAGAGGCTATATTGTAAGTGAAATAAATCAGAATCACATGTGCAAACATTTTAGTATCTTATTAGTGTGAGAACCTGAGTCGCTAAAAATCTGAAAGGTACAGTAGAAACTGTGAAAGGGAAAAAATTTGTTCAATGGGAAGGAAAAACTGGGATGAAGAAAAGGACAAATGAAAGAAGGGAAAAAGATATATTTAAGTATATATCCAGAATAGTTTGGATAATTTTTTTTTTTGTATTTAGTACAGGGAAGTCTACAGGGTCTACAAGGGTCTCACTATACAGATCAGACTTGTAATGATTCTCCTGTTTTCAGCTTTGCAAGCGCTGGTATTACAGGTGTGCACCACCATGCCCAGTCTCAGTCACTGTTTCAGCAAACCCCGGGGGGGGGGGCGGCACAGCAGGCTGGGTATCCAACCTCCAACCTCTGTGTCTGCCTAAGCAGGCGCTTTAATCTGCTGAGCTATCTGACTGGCCCTAGTTTGAATAATTATACTGTCAATTTCTACTGATCTTTTAAAAGGAGCAATTAATGCTTAATTTTTTTTCTTTTTATTATTTATTTTTTCTTTTGAATTTCCTATAACTTTTTTGTTATTTTATTTTGTTTTTTCTTTTTTTCCTTTCTTTTTCTTTTTTTTTTTTGCGGTACTGGAGATGGAATATTTTGTTTTTTCTTTAAACCAATCTTGCATATTTATATCTGATAACCTGAGCAATTAATTTGATGATAGCATCATGCAATACAGCAACTTTTGTTGAATTCCTATTACTATATTCAGTGAAATTTTGTATCATTTTTATCATTATTTTGTATTGTTTTAAAGATGGATTTGTTTTGTTTTGGCCATACCAGGAATTGAACTCAGGACCTTGAGCTTGCGAGGCAAGCACTTATTTCACTGAGCTATCACTCCAGCCCTAAAGATGGATTTTAACAAGGGATGACATATATTTAAAACAATATCCCTCTGGCTATTGTAGAGTTTATTCTTGTTGGTCCCTAAAAGGTGAACATGAACAAAGGGAGGCCTGTCAGCTCAGGAGTGTGTGGTTCACGTGGTGGATATGGAGACTCTCAGAACGTTACTGGATGTAAGGGAGGCAGGCTGAGCCAGGGCAGACTGTACCCGTGGGCAGCTGAAGGCACGTGTAAGTGACACATGTCCTGGTTGATTAGGGGGAGCAGAGGCCACAGTTCTCTCCCACGGCAGTGCTGCCTTGCCAGTCCTGCACTGCTCTGTCGGTCCTGTGGCCATGAGGACTTTTCTGCTAACTTTGGCTGTGCTACTGCTCTTGTTCCAGGTCATTCCAGGTAACCTCCACCTCTGTAGGCGAGGAGCAGAGGGTGGAGAATGGGTTCTTGGTCAGGGCATTCAGGGCTTGGGGAGGATGCTCAGGCAGGTGGCAATAAGAAGTATTATTTGAACAAGGACATGGTGGGGGGATTACACAGAATTTGTTGGGAAGAGTATTCATTTCTTAATTGAACTATTGACCAAGGAGATGTTTCTGCTCATCCACTATTTGGATATCTTGGCATTTAGAGAATTTGGGAAGGAAAGGCATGATAAATGCTTGAGTTAAGAGATAAATGCTTGACTTGATTTTTGCTTACTGGTTTTCTGGATAATACATTAATTTTCTATCAATTATTAAGTTTGAATAAGTGTTTTTTGCTAAATATTGTTTATTTTGAGCTCGTGATTCCAAGATATCAGTTCAGTCTGCTGCAATCATTATGCCCACTGAAGTGCAAATTGTCTTATTCTTGGCTACTGAAGCCTCTTCAATTTGGCTTATGAGTCTTTTTTATGTTCTTCTAATCTTTGATAGCTTCTTTTGTATCTAGTATGATATAACGGTAGGCTTGTTTTTATAATTTTCTATGAAAGAACTAGAATCAGTCGTATCTTCAAACAGCCCTAATATCTTTTATTTAGTGGGAGATAATATTTAAGACTACAAAGTTGGTGGTAGGGGATGCAAATACCTGCTGATGGGTCATTATTTTTTCGCTTTATTAGTGACTAGCTCTGGATGATTTATCTATCGTCTGTCTATCTGAAAATAATGCCCATGAATTTATACTGATAATACCATCCCAATTCAAAGCTGAAATTCAGAAGTAGCATCTATATAATATCAGGATTTTTCGTATTCTGAGAATTCTGGGATTGTAGAATATTGCATAATTACTTGTTTGGTTTCTCTCTCATCACGTATACATTATGATGCCAGGACCACCGCAATAACATGATTACTCAACCTAGTCAAAATGTTTGCAAATCATGTCACCATTATTCTCCTAGTTTTATCATGTACTGTTCCTATATTGCTGGAACATACAGTCATCACACACTCTGTGCCCTTACTCTAAATTCTCATTTATTTTAGTTCTACAGGTAGCTATATATTTAATATTTAATCATCCATCAGTTCCCCTCTCATTTACTGGTCTAAAAGGCCTTTCCTACTAGATTTCTTAGGAAATGTTCATAGGAATAATATTTCCTAAGTCCCAGTCCATTGATAACAGTTTAATTTTTTTCTTTGTCCTTGGAATCAGTTTTGCTTGATACAGCATTGCGTATTGTTTCTTTCCTTGAGGATCTTAAACATATGACAGCAGTTTTCTACTGTCATAAAATATTATTGTCAAAAAGTCTAAGTAGAGTCTTGTTTTCCTTTCCCCTGCTTCTCATTGTATGTCCTGGTTGCCCAAAGAATTATTTTCTTTTCCTGTAATGTCCAGTAATTTTACTAGAATATAGGCTGTTTTGGGTCAGCATTCTCAGGTATGCAGTATGCCCACTTAGCTTTTTTTTTTTTTTCAGAACTGGGGATTAAACTCAGGCCCTTATGCTTGCCAGGCAAGCGCTTATTCTACTGAGCTATCTCCCCAGCCCCCAGCATTTGTTCTCAAATATTCTTCTATTTCTGGAAATTTTTATTTGGTATAGTTTATAGTTTCTATCCTGTTTCCTTATTTTTTTGCTAGTGGTTCATTTTATTATGTTGGATTGTTTTTGCCTATCATCAGTGGTTAGCACATTCCATTGGTTCCTATTTCCTTTCTTTTTGATTAAAACATCATTTTTTCCCACTCTATTTCTCTTAAGCTATTATCTGCTTTATTTGCTAATGTGTTCCTTCTATGTAAATTTGGACTTATGAAATGATTTTTAAAACATTTATTTATTTATTTGGTACAGGGTCTCACTACACAGCTCAGCCTTGTAGTGATCCTCTTGTCTCAGCCTCCCCAGCATTGGGATTACAGGCGTGAGCCACCATGCTTGGTTTCTGGGCTGGCAGGCACAACCAGGGTTCTGGGGTCTGCATGGTGTGTGGTACCTGGGATGAACCTGGGTCCTTGCACTTGCCAGGCAGGCGCTTAGATCACTGAGCTGTCTCCCCAGCCCTGAAATGATGTTTTGAATTTTGACTCTTTTTGAGTTCCTTTAATTTCATATCTCAGTTTATTTAATGCTGATTAAAAAAATTATTTGGTTCCTACAGTAACCTTTGAGGCAGGTGTTGTATCTTCTTTTTAGAAGAGACAGAATTGATGCTCTGACAACAAAAGTCACCTGCTCAGTGTCTTCCAGCTGGCCTGTGGTGCAGGCGGTTTTTATGTCCACAGCCTGGGTTCCAGTGGTCCATGCCCTCAGCTGTCCCGACCCGATGCCTCTCTTAGAGGGAACATGCAGGGAAGGCTGAGGTGTAGGGTCTCCAGGCAGGTTAAAAGGCTACGTACCATCCTATACACGTGGGGTGAAATCTTCTTCAGTTGTCTGCCATTTACTGTTCTCAATGGAGGACCTGTCTTTTCTTACGACTGACCCAGGTACCCTTGTTTTCACTCTTTGTATCAGGCAGCCCTGAAAGATGTTGGAATCAGCGTGGTGCCTGCCGGGAAAAATGCATAAAGAGTGAAATATTTTTCGTGTTCTGCGTGAGTGGGAAAGTGTGCTGTGTGAAGCCCAAGGACAAGCCAAATTTATCACAGAAGTGAGCTGGTGCCGTGAAGTCCAAGGTCACGAACGCAAAGAAAAGCCTGCGTAGTCTGTTCTCAGTAGATTTCTGAGCTGAAATAAAATGTTTGGCTGATGACTGTGTTTGTCTCTTAGTTTACTTAACCAAACTCAGCAGAAAAGGTGTGGATGAGGATTCAGCTTGCTGTATCTGTGAGGGTTTTTTTTTTTTTTTTTTAATCTATGGGTTCAACCAAATAAATATTGAAAATATTTGAAAAACAATTGCATCCCAACTGGATACATAAGACTATTTTATTTGTTGTTCTCTGGATAACATAATAACACCACTATCTGCATAGCATTTGCATTGCATTTGGTCTTATAAGTCATCCAGAAAAGGTTTAAAGTACAGTTGTTCCTTGGGGTCTGGGAGGGAACCCTGATGATACCAAAATGTGTGCATGCTCTAGTCCCTTCTACAGAGTGGTATATAACCTATGCCTACCATCTGCTGTACTTTAAATCCTATCTATACTACTTAGAATAGCTAATACACTGTAAAAATTACAGAAATACTTCTATACAGTATCACTTAGGGGACAGTGATAAAAAAAGCACCTGTGCAAGTGTTCAGACTGTATTTTTCTGGACACTGTTACCTGTGTCTGATTTAATTTGTGGCTGGGAAACACAGGGAGGGCTGATTGTCAGTGGGAAGTTACATGTGGTCTATATGAACACCATTTTATATAAGGAGCCTGTGTTTTTATGAATTTTGATCTCTGTGGTAGATCCTGGAACCAATCCTTCATAAACACTGAGAGACAACTATATACACAGGAGAGAAAGCTAGACCTATTATGGGCCAAGGGTATTTTATTCTTTACCACACCTAGTCCTCAACATATTTTAAGGTTTTGCAAAGGTCTATTTGAAAAATAAAAATTGTATGTATTTAAGGTATGCAGGATGATGATCGCATATGCGTACATATTGTGAAGGTGATTACCAGAATCGGGTGAATCAACACACCTATCAACTCCCATAGTTACTGTATTTTTACCATTGTGGTGAGAACCCTTACAATATATTCTCTTAGCAGATTTCAAGTATAGTATACACTACAGTATTAACAGTAGTCACTGCTTAGTTTGAATGTTTTTGTCAAAAAGCCGTATTGTAGCTGAGCGTGGTAGCACATCCCTGTAGTACTAGCGCTTGGGAAATTGAGAAAGGAAGATCACTTCAAGTCCAAGGCCAGCTTGGGCTTGGGCTACGCAGTGAGTTTAAGGCCAGTGTGAACTGTGTAACTGTATAGGCAGACTCTGTCTCAAAAAGACAAAAAAATGTTGAAGCTTAATCCTAATTCAACAGAATTCACAAGTAGGTTCTTTAGAAGGTGATTGAGTCGGATCCGATACCTTCATAAAAATGCTTGATGGAGGAAAGTCTGTTCCTTTTCATCTCTTCCATCCCATTATGTGAGGACCAAGTATCCCTGTTTGAGGGTGGCAGCAAAAAGGTATCACTTTGGAAGCAGAGATATGGCCCTCATCAGCCTTGATCTTGAACTCTCTGGCTTCCAGGACCGACAAATAGTTTCTGTTCTCACGTGTTTTTATGATAGGAGCACAAATGGACTAAGATTCTCAGCATGCTGTACAGAAAATCCCCAGAGCTTACTCAGCTGAGAGCTGTGTACCTGGCATCTCCCCTTTTCCCTCAGCCCCTTGCCCCATTGGTCATCATTCTGTTCTATGAGTTTGATGGTTTCAAATGCTACATAATTGAAATCAGGCAGGATTTGCCTTTATGGGACTATCTTATTTCACTTAAGATGAGGTCCTCCAGGCTGGGGAGACAGCTTAGTAGAATAAGCACTTACCTGGCAAGTGCAAGGGCCTGAGCTCAGTCCCCGATTCCACCAAAGCAAAACAAAACAAAAAAAAAAAGATGAGGTCTTCCAAGTTGTCACAAGTGGAAGAATTTTCTTTCTTTGTAATGAACAATATTTTATTGTGTCTTATAGCGTGTTTTATGTTTCAACTCATGCAGCAACACATAGACATTTCTATATCCTTTTTGGCATTTCTATATCTTGATTATTTTGATCAATGCTGCAACGAACTAAGGAGTTCAGCCATGTCTTTGACACACTGCTTTCATTTCCTTTGCATGTGACCCACTAGTGGGCTTCCTGGGCCACATGATACTTCTATGCTTATTTTTTTTTTTTTTTTTTGTGGAACCGGGGATTGAACTCAGGCCCTTGCACTTGCCAGGGAAGCGCTTATTCTACTGAGCTATCTTCCAGGTCCCTATGCTTAATTTTTTGAAGAACGTAATATTGCTTTCTTCCATTGTCACTCATAGTATGCAAGTGCACCTTTTCTTCACACTCATCTTTCATCTTTTTCAGTGCAAAGTGATATTTTGCACTTCTCTCATGATCACTGATTTTGAGCAAGTTGTGATATGCTTATTGGCCATTTGTACGTCTCATTTAAAAAAATGTCTATTTCATAGCCTTTGTTCCTTTCCAAATCAGATTCTTGTTTTCTTTTCATGGAGTTATGGAGTTACTGGAATTCTCTGTATATTTTAGATACTACTCCCTTATTATATATATGCATTACAATTATTTTTTTCCCATTTCATAGGTTGTATTTTCAATGTTGTTTCCTTTGTTGTGAAGAAGTTGGATATGATACCACTAGATTATCTTTGCTTTTTTATCCAAACAATCATTGTCCAGATAAATTTCTTAGAGCTCCACTTATGTTTTCTTCTAGTATTTTAACCCACCCAGGTCTTACTTCATATTTTTCATCCAGCTTGAGTTGATTTTTTAATATTGTGAGAGAGGGTGTCTAATCTCATTCTTCTGCATGTGGCACTCAGTTTTCTCGGCACCCCTGAAGAGCCTGTCCCTCACCACTGTGTGCTGCTGGCACTTTTGTTGAAAAGTCAATTGACCACAAGTGCAGAGATTTATTTCTAGGTGCTCTTTTGGTTGATGTGTCTGTTTTTAATGTCAGTATAATGTTTTCCTAATTACCTGGTAAATTGTAGGATTAAATAGTGTATTATTTCCAACCCTGTTGTTTTTGCTCAAGATTGTTTTGGCTATTTGGGATGCTTTCCAGTTCCATATGAATTTTAGTTTTTTTCCTATGTTTGTGAATATCACTGGAATTTTGATAGCACTTGCATTGGACTCATTAATTGCTTTGGATAGTACACATATTTTAATAATATTAATTCTGCTCATCCATGAACATGTAACATATTTTCCTTTATTTGCATCTCTTTCAGTTTTGTCATCAATGTCTTATAGTTTTCAGTGTATAGATCTTCTTCAGTTAAATTTATGCCCAGGTATTTTATTTTGTAGTTATTACAGGATTAGTTTCTTGATTTATTATTCAGACAGTTTGTTGTTAGTGTGTAGAAATATTATTATTATTATTATTATTTTTTTTTTGTATGTTGGTTTTACCACTTGCAACTGGAAGTATGTGGAGATTCCTCAAAAAGCTAGGACCAGATGCCCCACCCCTGGGGCAGGCTGAGATGGACGATTGAAACTGGGCATGGTGGTGCACTCCTGTAATCCCAGCAGTTGGGAGGCTGAATAGAGGAGAACACTATGAGTCTGATCTATGTAGTGAGACCCTGTACACCCTGTAGACCTTGTCCTAAATTCATTTCAAAAAACCTAGGACTAGAGGTCCCAATTGACACAGCTATTCCTCTTCTGGGTATCTTTTCAAAAGAATTAAAACCATCATGCCACAGTAATATATGCACACACATGCTTATAGCAGCACAGTTTGCAATATCTAAGTCTTGGAGATAACCCAAATGCTCATCAACCAGGGAGTGGTTGATGTATTTTTAAAAAGATGTGTTTTTTGGGGGCTGGGGAGATGGCTCAGTGGAATAAGCGCTTTCCTGGCAAGTGCAAGGGCCTGAGTTCAATCCTCGGTTCCACCAAAAAAAAAAAAAAAAAAAGATGTGTTTTTTTAATCCAGTGGAGTACTACTTAGCCTTAAAGAAGGATAAACTTGAGACATTTTTAGATAACTGAATGCACTTTGAGATCATACTCTTAAGTAAGTTGGACACATATGTATAAATATTGTATTGGTCTCTCTGGTGTGAGAAAATGAAAGTGTAAATAAGAACCAAACCAAATGAGAAATAGGAAGTAATTTTTCAAAAGGAAAAGGGAATGGAGGGTTGGGTGAAATGGAAAAGAAGAAATAAGGAAGAAAAGGATAGATCTTTTAAAAGCAGCAGTTAATGCCTAAATTTTTTTCTTTTTATTCTTACAATTTTTTTTCTGTTGAATTTCTTATAACTTTTTTGTTACTGTTTCGTTTTGTTTTTGTCTTTAAATCAGTATGTTCATTTATATTTGGTAAACTAAACAACTAATTTGAAGAAAACGTCATGTAATACAGCAACCATTGTTGACTTCCTGTTACTTTGTTTAGTGAAATTTTGTATTGTTTCTAATGTTATTTTTTCTATTACCATTTTTTTTATTCTTAAAAAAAAAGATCATGGGGGAGATCTTTTCTTCTCTTCCTTTGCTCTGATGATGGTATTCTTGGGAATAAAATACAGTTAAATTCTTTAAAAAAAGGACAAAATGGAAACAAAGATTTAAAAATAAGGAGGGGAAGATGGGTTGCAGAGAAGGGAGGGGAATAGGAAGAGAAGAGAAATGGAGATATATCACGTACAGATACAAATATCCTAGGATGAATGTGAGCATTGTGTATATCTAAACTGCACCAATAAACTCAATTTGAAAAAGAAGAGTGTAATGATCAAATGTACTATATTGACACTTTTTGTAAAAAATTTATTTATTTATGTGTGTGTGTGTGTGTGTGTGTGTGTGTGTGGCCTGCTCAGCCCACCAGGGGGCGGGGCTGGCTGGCATGTGGTGCTGGGGGATTGAACCGCAGTCCCTGTGCTTTGCTAAGCTTGTTCTAAGTAGGTGCTTTAGACCACTGAGCCATCTCACCAGCCTGACACTTTTTTTTTTAAAGAGCAGAATTTATTTACTGGGGGAAAGAAAGCTTCTGTCTGAGAGA